TATGTACAAGAGAAAAAAAAATAAGAATCCACAACAACAGATAACAAATTGTAAATAGTAAATTGTCAAATATGAAATAAAAAATAGAAAACACATTAGAACCCAGTGTTTTGTTAGTTACTTAAATATGTAATTTATTACTCATTAGTCTTTTCAAAAGTAATGTTATTGCTTTACTTATTACTCCCTGCCAACAGTAATTAGTTACACTACTAGTTGTGTTACTTTTCTGCTACTCCCCACAAAATTGGTAATCCTCCCCAAAATTGACTGACTTGTTAAAATCAAAATAATGGGAATATTTCTCAGTACTGAATGTAAACGTTTCCATCTTCTATAAGTAATTAGTTACTGTGGAAAGTATTATTATTACTAGTAATGCGTTACTGCCCAACACTGTTAGAACAATAAATATATTTTAATAGGCTCTACCAGAGGTGGACTTAAGTGTTTTCCTTTTCATACTTATATACAGTATATTCTTTTTATTATGAAATACTATATCAACTATCAGAGGGAATTTTCTTTACTTTGTACTCTGCTACATTTAAGAGAAAACAGTGATGACTGGTCTATTACTCTGTTATTTTATGCTATGCTCTCAACTTGTGACTGGGTTTTGTTTTTTGTCTCTGGAACATATTGTTGGTGGGGTTTTTTTATAATGAACTTATGTTTTCCTTTTTTTAAAGGCTTTTATACTGTTAGCTTTTATCAGCTGTAAATCCCACATTCCCTCAATTAAAAGAAAATAATGATTTCAGTAAAACCTTAACACTCTTGTCTTCCTCTAAATGTGACTGAGGAATACAGTCGAAATCAATACAATGGCATTAAATGAGATTTAAGGAATATTTTCCCAGTATTGATACACATCTTTAAACATAAAATGTGCATGAAAAGTTACACACTGTATATTATAATCCAGTATTTGACTGAGCTGCATTTGGTCAGTCAAAAATGCTTCAACATATGAAACAAAAACACTGAATTATTGGCCATCAATGACTGAGAAGAGGATGAGAGGCATGAGAGGGGAGCTGAAAGACATCATGGACAACCCCTCTCATCCTCTCTAAGGAGTACAGCATCCAGTACCTCCCAACCTCCTCTAGTCTAAGACTGTTTAACTTGAACCTGCTATGCACAACTTTTATACAAACTTTACCTTGTAATAATTGCACATGTACAGTTAGTTATACACAAATTCTTGCACAATATATTCCTTTATTGCATGCTGCATATAGTGTATATATTTTAATTCTAGTTTTTATATGTTCTATTATATCTTTGTAATGTTTTGATTATTCTTTATTGTATTTTTGCACTACATTTCCTCTGTGCGGCTGTGTCAAACTTGAATTTCTCCATAAAGAACATCTTATCTTATCTAAATTTAAATAATCAGTAAACTATTCTTTATTTTGCTGTCAGCCCTAACACACCTCAACTTTAGGACTAGTAAAATAAAATTAGTTTAGAGTTATAACCTCGATTCAAAGCTTTTCTAAAGGCTAAACTATCACAGGAAAGCAGTTTTTTCTGCAATTCATAATGTGCACTGTGCTAGTTTCATACCCCCATAAATAAAATACATTAATCAAGAAAGTGAGAGTCAAAATAGAGTATGTCACGCAAGTAGTATTTTATTTGGTATGAATTGTCAGGTTATTCATTCCTGTGTAGGTTTTTAAGCAGACTGTTTACATCATGTCAACACTAGATTTGTTACTGAAGTTCAAATAGATACTGAGAGCCATAAAAACAGTTATTCTGTAAACATTATCAAAAACAATCAGGTAGGTCAGACAAGTCATAGGATAAACCACACCAATTCATTTACATGAAAAAAATATATATTCACACTAATAAATTAATTTGGATGAAATTAAAAGAATTGAGAAAGGACATAAGAGCACAGATACAGAGAGTATATATGATGTATGAATGAGTGAGGCTTGAATAAAGCAAAGCAGGACACGTCACCAGAAATACTCAACACAAATAACATACAAACTCCCACTGCCTCTCATTTATTTGCAGTGACAGCGCTTTCCAGTAAAACCCCAAACAATGCCCTCAATCGCACTTCTCATTGCGTACATATACAAAAGTTTACTGCGTTTTTATTTATTTATTTAAGCTCGTGCAAAATAATACACTCCACGTTTAAGGACTAAATGCTTCTTCTGACTCCACAACCTAAAACGATGGGAGAAAACTAACATAGATGGACCCTTCTGAACACTAGGTGACAGATCGCAACAGAAAATACAACTGAAAGAAAACACTGAAAATCTGTCACAACACGAATACATATGATTCTTATCCACCAATTAAAAAGGAGAGGTCAAGTTCTCAAGAAAAAAATTAAATATAATCAGTAATATAATCAGTAAAGAGGTTAGTGTTTCAGTTGATGGATGAAGAATTCAGCATCTCTTGCTTGTACAAAAGATACACAAAAATGTTTGTCTAATGTTCCTAAAAACTATGTTTCATCTCAAACTAACCCATGGCTGGAGGGCCATGTGTGTAACTGTTCCTCAGTCTTTGTGAACTCAAAACAAGTAGCTTTTAGTTTTTCATTTGTCTTCAATCGACTGATATTATCATTATTTCCTGAATCCAGAGTACTTTTGCACTCTCTAGCTTTCTGCACTACCTCTATCTCAAGACATTAACACTGTGATCAAAGCTCTTGATCTCAGTTTGTTTTAATATATTTTTAGAAGCAAGCACTTTCTGATGGATCTAAATTGATCCCACAGCTGTTTCACCTACTATAAGATTATCAGTGTGTTAAAATGAACGCTGGCTGCTGCGCTTTAGCTGTATTTACTTCCTGAACTCCTTAGCCTGAAGGTGGCCGTGCAGCCTTACTGGATGTCCATGTGAAACCACTTTTCTTGCTATCTGATGTGTGTACGACAGAGAAGAGTCAAGGGGCCGTATGTGAATAAATAGTATTTTTGAAAACTAATCTCAGAACACACGTTTTGAAATTTGTCCTAAACCTCAATGTAATTTTGTTTAAAAAGAAATGTTTTGTCGGACCCCTGTGACGGTTACTATTTGTGACACAACTGCTGCACCTCAAGCTCATCGACTGCTTGAGGTGCAGCAGTTGCAACAATAATCAGCAGATGTGATGACAATATGTATAAAAAGGAAAAAGAAACGTCTGCCAGTCCTAATGATACTCTGTCTTAAGCTTTCTGCTTAATTCAGACATCGACTGTGAATCATAACTGATCAAAAACCCTACGAAATCTCTTCATTCCGAGGGCCAGTGTAGTTAAATCACTTATACTACCTCTGACAGCCTTCGTTCATCCGGCTATCAGAGTTAAGTAAAGTTTAGATTCAGACTTTGAATGACATGAACGGAAAATGCGCTGCCCGACACCCTGCAGGGCTGATTAATATGATAAACAGTGGTGTAATACTAGTTGGGAGATCAACTACATCCAAATTTCTCCAGCAGTTCTCAAAGTTTTACCTTCAGATTTGGTTTTACAGCAGCTGCTGAGGAGTCTGCGTCATTGAGAATATGACACCCTGCACAGATTATTTACCATCTTCGGAGATTATTCGGATTTAATAGGACGAAAATTCAATATCCTTCTTCATCAGCTCTCAGTAAAACATGTCATGACATAACAACATATTGTGTTATCTTTTCATAAATGCAGTTTTTTAAAGCAAGACTATGCCATTGTCAAATAATAAATAACACTGACTTCATAAAATGCAACAATTGCTCAATTCAATACACCAAGGGGGTTTTGCAGCTACAGCCTGAACTGGTCTGGTAAGAATAATGTTACAACAGCCATTAATGAGTTAGTTCTCTGGCTTTCTATAGCATGTATTGCTGTTGCGATGTTTTTTAGCATTTCCAAGTATCTTATAATTGCTGTTTATGTCGACGGCGGCTGCTGTTTACCCAAAGTTACATAATCTCACTTTAAATTAATGATCTCATGCAAACAATTAGAGTTTTTAAACAACTTCACAGCAGCTGGTGTTTTTTTGCTGCCCTCTGTTGGTTCTCACCTTGCTGCAGTGAAGTAGAATTGTACTCCAGGGCGTGTCAGTACATCGTGACATCACTCTTGCGGGTGTGGTTAGACACTTGAACTAGAGAGGGCAGCAAAATACGGCTTTTCAGCCAGTTACTCTTTAAAGTTTGTTTGTGGAGTTTTTCTGATGTAATGCATAGTACTGTAGGACAGTTCCTTGCATTGCGCACGAGTTTGATTACTTTGTGTGTAATTTTGCATACCCTTTGCCATATTGTGATGTCAGAAATTAATGATGTTTCAGAAATGTCGCCCAGCATTTGAGGGACTCCAGTGTTTCCCATTCAGAAGTTAAACGGCGTCTGTACTGCTGTCCACTCTTGAATATGACATTTACCATTTTCTGTGATAGACCTGACAAATAAATATCACTCAGCACAATAAATGCCTCTGTACAACGCATACTATCTTTCTGTTTCTCAGCTTTAGTCCAGAGAAAAAAATTGGAGATCTGAAACCAACACCGGGCTCTCTGGTCATATGTAGCTTAGCCTTAGAGGAATCCTGAAGCACTGAATTAATGAGCACTCGTCCAGCTGATTAATAAGGCAGCGAGGATTCGTTTCCAGACTGTCGACAACAAACCCACGTCAGCCGACGTAAATGACCATGCCTTGTCGCTATGGGAGATGGAGGGAGGAAAGATCGAGCAGGGAGAGCGGGGTTTACGGAGATCCTCCTGGTCCGTCAGGGAGTCTCTGAACCAATGAGCTGCAGGATCTCATGGGAGAGGATGAAGGTGAAGAAGTAAACGCAGAGGTCGGCAAAGACGTCGCCCATCCTCCTGTAGGTGTCCATAGAGCGGTTGATGACCTCAGCGGGGATGCCGGACAGCAACAGGGCAGCGGTCAGCACAGTGGTCTGGGCCTTCTTCTCTACCTGGAGGAACGGGTGTACAACTGTGATGAAATTTCTTTTGTTTTGTTTTTATAGTTAACCGATTGTTTTGTTAATAAAATGCCAGAAGACTGTGACCACAAACAAAAGCAAAATTTCACATTTGAAATGCTGGAGCCAGCTAATAAAACACATTTTTTTTCTTGATAAATTACTTAATGTAATAGTTATATGTTTTGGCTTAGCTTAGCATACATACTGGGAACAGAGGGAATCAGCTATCCTGGCTCTGTTTAAAAATAAAACCTACCAGAACCTCTAAAGCCAACTAATTAACACGTAATATAATAAAATGATAGGGAATTAGGGAAGTACGAAGTAATTGCCAGCCGCCTGGTGTATTTTTTTGAACACTGGACAGAGCCAGGCTAGCCGTTTCCCCATGGTTTTAGTCTTTATACTAAGCTAAGCTAATCACCTGCTAGCTCTAGTTTCATGTTTAGACATGAGGGTGATTCCAATCAACACGATCGGTTCCTTTACACAATGAAGATATCAAAATACTTTGGGATATGGAGTTCTCTCACATTTAAATATACACTTTTTTAAAATATTAAAAATAACAAATCTGAGAAAGGGCTCTTAAAATAAAATATCTTAAAAACAATCTAGTGCAAACTCACCTTTGGAAAGTATTTGGACAACCCCATGTAGGCCAGTTCCAGGGTCAGAAATGGAGCAAATATTGACTAGAATGAAAAAAAAAAAAGAGAGTCACATTAGCAGAATAACATCATGTTTCTGGCAGCTAATATTAAATGCAGGCTGCTATCAGACTTCAGCAGGGGATGTGACATTCCCACAAAATGAATGCATGCAGAAATCAGCATGAGTAACTGAGCACTTACTGACATGAGACAGGAAGTGAAAACACTCAACTTCTCAAAAACTCACCAGATACTTGCAGACGAAGACCCTCACAAAAACAGCGAGGAGGATGCTGCCGATGAGCCTGAAGATTCTGAAGGGATCGAACTCCTCCGTCTCGGACCCTCCGTCCTGGGCCGGCTTCTCATTGGCCAGCTGACCGCGCAGTTTCATGGCATCGTCGAAGCGGGACAGGTACTTCTGGAGACCTCGACGCGGGGAGCCACTGATGTCGTCTGATACCCGCTCCCCCCTCGGTCTCTGTCGGATCCCTCCGATGTCGTCTTCCAGAGAGCCTCCGTGCGGCTCGCTGAAGCCTGGCAGGGGTGAGCCCCTCCTCTCTGGAGTGGCGCTGTGGGAGCGGCTGCCGAGCACCGAAGCCTCTGGCAGGAAGGGAGACGCTCTCTGGGATGATGAGGATGACGACCATGGCTCTGTCCTGTCGAGATCGAGGTGGAAGTGGGGCTCTGTGGGACGCTGGGACGCTCCAGCTGCAGGTGTAAGACAGCAGAAGAGTGAACTAGTGCTGAAACTATAAGTCTATTAGTTGTTGTTTAAGTTATTTATCAGGGAAAATGACTCTCAAATGTCAGACTTTACAGCTTTTCACTGTTTCATATCATTAGAAATTGAATATCGTTCAATTTTGAACTGCTGGGAGGGCCAAATAAGCAATATGAAGACATCACACCGGGTCATTTTCACTATTTTTCAACTAAACTATTAATAATGGTAATTATTCCCCAGATTAACAACTGCAACCCTACATTTGACAACAGCTACAGCTACACAAAAAAGGTGTTGGAGCATATTTGACAGCTCAATAAAAAGCTGATTCTGGCAACACTGCTGCATGACAACCAAAAAAAAACCCTGCACACTCCCACGAGTGTTTTCATTTATTCCGATTCAGCCGATTAGTCCTCTGCTCAGGTTGACGTTAGCTATGATGGCAATCAGCCGGTGATGTCAGTCCACCAGAGTCTGTACCCATCCACACATCCAGGAGGGTCTTTGGCCTTTAACCAAGTACTGATACTGATATATGTTCAGGTTACAGTTATTAGTCTGGCTCAATGCTGTATTCCTTTATATGTCCAATCAACAGTCCAAAACCCAAAGATATTACATTTGTTATCATAGAAACAGAAACCAAATATTGACTCTGATGACAGAGAGCAGCGCCACCATGCGTCAGCAGACTTACAGTGGGAGCAGGTAGTTGCTGGTTTGAATCCCAGGCTGGGAGAACCTGCCACTCATGCTCGTATTCATACCTTTATACTGATTATGAACACTGAAATGATGATACTGCAGGCAGACCAAAGGTAACGTGCTGACTGTAGTTCTATACAGCAGTGAGATGAAGCAGGTGATAGTGTTACACTTGATCCAACCCGTTCCTATAATCAGCACACTGAAGAAATCACCAATCATTGTTTTTACCTAACACAGCTAAAAGTCTTTTCTGTCCATCCTTTTTTCCACATCTTTGTTTCATCCAGATGTGATTATTTTAACCCTTTTTCAGGCCTTGTAGCTGGAACTTGAACTAAAACTAGAAAATGTAACATGCACCACTTTTAGCTTCCCTTCACTGGCTCCCTATTCACGTCAGCTCATATTTAAAGGAGCATGGGAACGACGCTTCACACGCGTCTGATCTCATTAAAGCTTATATTCAATCCCCTGCAGGTCTTTGTCTTATCTTGTCTGAGTAACCTCGTTACTGAAACCTTTGAGGCCTCTAAAATCCCAAACTCATCTCTCTGCCGCTCTGAGCGCCAGCGTACGAGCAGTCTCTCTTTCTCTCCTCTCATCATTGTCCTCTCTTTTCACTCAGGTTTATCATCAGCCATCCTGAGATCCATCCACCCTCTCTCTCTCTCTCTCTCTCTCCTGGCTGTCAGTGCCTTATTCCAGGTGTTTGGATCTCTCTTTCTCTCTTTCCCTCTGTGTGTTTGTTTCCTTTCTCCTTTTCTCCCACCTGTGTGAATCACATGCTCAAGCTTTGTTTGTTTCTCGTATGTTGGTCTGTCCTTTATCCAGGTCTCCGTGGTGGAGAGGAGGTCCTATCTGTTTGGGGGGGGGCAGCACCTGTGCATTGAATCGACGTCCTCCTGGATCCATATTCTTTGTATACTAATAACCACAATGCTGTCATTCTGGTCATTTCACCATGTTGGACTGCTCTTCTGTTGTCGCCACCCTCCCCCCCGTTTGAAGGTTATTTTTAGGAAGCTTTTTCTCATCTGAACAAAGGTTGTTAAAGACAGAGGTTGTTAAAGACAGAGGTTGTCATATGCTGCACACACTGCAACGTCCCCTTGAAGTAAATCTGTAATACAGAGCCACACAAACTGCATTCAACCCAGCTTTAAACAGAAACAAGTGGTGGGAACGACCCTTAAGAAGAGCATACCGCTGGTGTCCGGCTCGTTTTTAGCGTAGCCCACGATCCTGTGCATCCTGTCCTCTGAATTCATGAGCAGCTTTCTCCTGCGGATCTCGGCTCTCCTCTGCGCCGCCGACAGAGACGCTGCCTTCTCCTCGGTGGCCTCTCCGGACTCCATGTTGGGGATCGATCAGCGTTCGCTACAAAACCCAATTTCACAACTCATGCAGAGGAGGAGGAAGAGGAGGAAGAGGAGGAGGAAGAACAAAAAGCCTCCGATCACTGAATCAAACGCGTGAACATGACGGAGCGTTGTCTGGAGAGAGAGAGAGAGGACGCGCGCTGATGACGTCCCCGCCGAGCATGAGGGATGACGTAGTCTGAGCGGGTTTAAAAATAAATAAATAAATAAAAAAATTAAATGTTAAATAATAATTATTCCCTCGACGCTGACTCGCAGGAACAGAGGTCTTGTGTGCTTCTGATGTACCTGAAATTGGAGCAATGTAAACAAACAAACAACAATGTAAATCAGCAAAGGGGGTTGTCTTGGTGATTTTGGGGACTGTAGGTTTGGTGGAGGACCACGCCTGGGGCATGTGCATGTGTCATTGTCATTTGTAAAATAGTAAAAGAAATAAGTCATTTTATAATTTGAGATGGGACTAATGATTTTTTTAAAATTTTTAATTATTTTACTGAAGTAACTGATAAATTATTTGGTTCATAGAAAGTCAGAAAACAGCAAGAAATGTCCACCGTTTTTGACCCAAAGCTCAAAACCTAAAATATTCAGTATAATATTACAGAAGACTAGAGCAGATTTGAAAAATGACTTAAATAATTACTTAATCATCAAAACCAAGTATAAAAAATAAACTAATTAATTAAGCTGTTCATGCTGGAATGGAAAATGGAAACCCGATCCAGATTTGTCAAAGCCTGATAGATCTTGTGAGGGTTCTGACCCCCAGGTTGTGGGGTTGCTTTAAAGCAACTGCATTACCATAAGCACTATAATACAAATATTACACAATCATAATAACACACAGGATCTGCAGTTGCAAAATTGTGCAGCAGCAAGCACAGTGTTGGCTATCATCTTTGTGTTTTAGCACAAAAAAGCAAATCTGCTGTAGTTTGGCAGGTCCAGTCATTAAAATAACTTTTATTAAATGAAAAAGTATAATTCTGGATAAAAATGAAATTAATAAGGCTATTCATGCTAGAATAGAAAATCGAGGCAGATTTTTCAAAGCCTGAACTAAAACACACAAGGCATATTCATTAAATCAATTTTACCTGAACTACATAAATAAAAATAAAGAACTACAAAGACATCAAATTAAAGTTGAAAGATCAAGGAACTTTAAAATCAAACAGAGGACTGATAAGGTTGGTAAATATCAGATGTTACTGCTCTTTGACTACCCTGCAGGCTGCGGGAACTGGGACAGATTGACAGTTTAAGAAGATCCAACTTTGTTTGGTGCTATAGTTTCAGTTTTAAAGAAAGTAATGATCTAACAAGTACCATCATGTAGTTAAAATATCATTTTTATAGCTGACATTTGACGGCCCAATTTAATGCCATTTAATAGAGCAGCAGTTAATTTACAGAGATAATAAATGCTTTTTTAATTGTGTCTTCAAATAAACCAAAGCAAAATGATCAGATGTGCCGTGGTCTGTTATTCCTTTAACACAATTACAATTTTAAAATTTCTGAGTCGTTTGTTTTGTAGTTTTTGTTGACCGCAGCAGTCTTTGCATCTGAATGTATTAATCTGAGGAATATCACCTGTTATTTGTCTGCTAGAGTACACTGCCAAACACACTTTCCCATCCAGTTTATGTAAATTGATTGGCTGTCAGTGAATTGATTCAAAGAAATAACATCATTTTTATTCTTAGGGTTTGGAGAGGAGAGATTTTTCATAGGTGTGGCCAAATGGGGCTACTAAATGGTGGCACTATTGATCATATATAGTTAGTGGACAGAGCCACTCTGAAATGAAGCCAACACCAGTGTCTCAAACCTGCATTTTTTTCTGATGACCAGCAGGTGGCAGCTCCATGGGCTGCAAAAAAGAAAGCATTAAGTCTTACAACTCTTCTTATCACTTGATTTATTAGCTCAGTAAACGGTTTCCTAATGATTTTATGGTCTCAATCACTAGTTTCTAGTGTTCTTCCATACGATAAAGCAGGGTATGCTTTTTGGTGTGGCTACCTTGTGACTGATGAGTCATTCTCAGCGAGTCCGTCTAACTCAACACATGAAATTTGCCTAAAATCCTTTTAGTTCATTGGAGTCAAAACCAAGTGCAGCTAAACTCACAGTACGTCACCGCGGCTGGCTGCAAAACACTAATTCTAAACTTGAGGCTTCAAAAAGGTATTGCACAAACCAATGGGTGACACCACAATAGGTTCAAAGTTGGGTGGCACAGCAAAACAAAATGCCAGGAGAGGAGTCGGAGTGTGACGCAGTGAACGGTCAAAAGTGGCCGACTGCGTTTGTGATTTTCTACACTATTAATTTAACTGAATAGTACCCAATGTAAAATACAATATTAGTCATTACTCAGGAGCATATTATGGATATGTGACTCAAAAAGTGGAGCCAAGTGACTGTATCAGAGGGGCCCTGGCCTCCCCTTGGTGGCACCACTGATCTGAAGTCTTCGTGCTGTCACGTCATCGACTTACATTTTTTTGTGAATCCACACATTCTCTCTCTTGTGGAGAGGGATGTCACGAGTCGTTGGTGTTAAAGTCAATTTGCAAGTCTTTTTGATTTGGTCAAGTCTATTTGATTAATGGCTCAAGTCAAGTCAAAGGCATGTGACTTGAGTCCACACCTCTGCAATGTACTCTGTACAAACACAGGCTATTTTTATTTTCATCAGTTTTTTTTTTTTATGAAAGACAATTTTGTGCATGAAGACCAAAACATATTTGTCTGTTTCTAAATACATTTTTGCTGATATAATACATAGATTACAAACTGTATGAAATCAGACCAAATCAAAAACCTTCAATTCACGCCCAGTCAAGAGAAAAATTGACTATATTGGTCCATATTGTTTTGTAGTCTTCATTTTCACTGAATAAACACTGCTCACCCACCAAAACACAAAACTACATTTAAAAAGTCCCAAACATTTTATTCTCTTAGCGTCATTTCACCTTAATGTTTATACTAAAATCATCAGCATTTCTTCACCTTTATATAACGCAGTCTTTTCAATATACAAGTATCAATAAGCATGATTAAAAGATCACAATGGCTTTGTTATGTCTGTGTTAAAGAATTTCCCATATCCTATTATATTAAAATATTTCATATATAGAGTCTGTATTTGAACAGAGGTTTAATAATAAAAAGTGAGTTCCCATACAAGGCAATTATAGAATTTAATCAGACTGGGAGTCTCATAAATTATTAGATTATCAGAAAAAAAAAGAAGAAACAAACAGAACAGCAATGTCGTCAGAGGTGTTCTGAATGTCCAAAGACAGAAAAGATGACAGAGAATTTCTGAAGGACAGATCAGACCAATGAAAACAACTTTCCACTGCCGAGTCCACACATTCAAGGCAGCAATGACGGCAAGGTTGACCCACCATCAAACACCTTTAACATTTCTGCCTTTTTACGACAGAGTCTACGGATTTGTTCGACACACAATTATAATGACTGAGAAAAGAAAAAAAAAAGCACACGTTCTGTCCTTCGGGTACGATATTAAGAGTGTTGTTAGAGCTCAGGTGTTCTGTATATAAACACTCCTGGTGACATCCAATAACAGTCTTTGAGTGCAGACATACTAAACATCCTTACAAACCTAGTCTTAAGCATACATACATACGTTTTGACTTGTTTTAGTAAAGACAACTGTGCTTTTTGAACAAAAACACTTCACACATCCATTGCCTGAACTGTATCTGAACGATACCTCAGTAAGATAGCATTGTTCTATGAGAATAAACACTGATTCATTCAATCATCGACACACGCAATCATCATCAGCATGGATTTCTTGCCTTTTTTTTTTTTTTCTTCCAACGTGTTGATTCAGCTGGGTAAAAAGTGCTAAATAAGCATCAGAATCAGTTCTTTGTCACTCTGTCCGTGCACTGTCCGTCACATAGTTTGATTTGAGTGACGCTTCCTGTCAGTTCAGCTCAGGAGCTTTTCCGTAGAGAGATAATGCACCACTGCTGGAGATTCCTTCAGTCCCACTGCTTTCACTCGTACACACACACACACACACACACACACACACCATATACATACACACACACACACACACTATATACATACACACACACACACACACTGATGCATGTCCTCACTTCAGTGTTCCCTCGTCTCCAGACTGAAGTTTATTTGGAGATTTGCTGTTGGAGGTGAAGCAGGAACTCGTAGTACGACAGGGCCGACTCTGTTCGGTCCTCGATCATGTTCTGCATAAAGCTGGCTTTCCACTGGCTCTCGTCCCTGAGAGAGACAAATGATAAGAGCAAAAAATGACAGACTGCCTGCCAAAATTAAAATCCACCAGCAGGTGTTGGCTGGTTTTAATGCCCACCTGATCACATGCAGGGAGGGGAAGAACGGCCTCTGATCCCTCAGCCAACCAATGAAAGCTCTGGTTCTCTGTGACTCGGCAGTGTCCAGCTCAGGGAGCATAAACTGTGAGAGGAGAGAGCGATGGTCAGGTTATCATCATCATGGGTACGATGCAGTGAGTAAAACTGAACGGCTGAACTGTGTGCGAGTTAACTGATGTGACCATTATGGCATCCTAAAGACGATTTGTTGGAAACTACTTGGGCACAGATACCGGTTTAAAAGTGATGGAGTGAAAAATGACCACAGCAGGTGGAAAAAGTGTGAAAGCTGCAACATGAAGTTGCCTACCAGGTTATCAGGCACGGAAGCATAGCTGGGAACTCCCAGCACTTGTGAGAGGAAGTTGGGGTTGCAGTTCCGTCCGATCCACAAATACATCACCTATTAGAACAGAATAAGGGATACATTAAGTTTAAACACAAATAAATAGTAAGCATTGTAGTATTCACTGTGAACACACCTCCTTACTTGGTGCTTGAAATATGAGAGAGATAAAAAGTGAAGCTTGTCTGGATGTTTTAATTCCTGTATCTAATTAAATCCTTATTATGCTATCATTACCCCTCTATTCACATGCTATATCCAAAGCATCTTTGGTGTTGACAAAAGTAACAAAGGAATATGTGGTAACTGATTAAATGAAAGACATTTTTTCCTCAGGATTCAGCCAGGTTTACGAGCTTCAGCTTTGTATTTCTGTTGGCTTGTTATGAGTGCTAAAAAAATAGCGTCATACCGTTCCAGCATCCATGAGGAAAGCTGCCTCCCTGCTGAGCTTCTCCACAGACAGCTGCAGCAGTCTGGGCTGAGGGATGGTTCGCTCACTGATGTTCAAAGCTCCCTGAGGATGCAGGAAACAGAAGAAAAGAAAAGATTACTTAGTAACATGGAGACATCTAAAATAACTGTGAAACATATCGGGATGCCAGTTCCAATTCAGCCCACTGCCAAGAATAAAACACCTAGACTGAATTCAGAGTTTTAGCTGTTAAGGACTAAAAATCGGTCTTCAACAGCAATAAATGACTTCCCTATCAAAACTGCTTTGCCACATATCAGTCTGCTATGTAAAAAAACATAATTTCAAAAGGTTACTCATACAGTCTTAATCATAAAGATAAAAAAGATAAATCCAGGGTCACTAGTTTTCAGAAAACTCTACAATAGCTAAATTGTGCAGGTGCTGAGGAGAAATTTCATCCTCTTCACCTCATCTGTCAGATCGTCGATTCGGTACAGAGCAGGATGGATCATCAACATGGCGTAGGCCAGCGGCTGGTACTTCAGCTGACACATGGCGAACACCCGGTCGTCCAGCCTGGTGCTGGTACCCGTCCTGAAGGATTTCTGCAAGTCGACACAAACAAATGAAACTGGATCAATGAAGACTCAACACACACACACAAGATCCTGGGAGTAAAAGCTTGAGCACCAGGAAAATGTTAAGTTAAGCTGACCTGTTTGAGCAGGGCAAGGATGAAGAGGGGGAAGAGTCTGAGGCAGGCTGGGGCCAGCAGGCCGGGCTGCTGGATGGTCAACACGGACTGCCGGTATGATGTCAGCGAGTCAATGGCAGCGTTCGTCATTGCATCTCTGGCGTCACTCAAACTGGCTGTCACAGAGCGGTCCACAGCTGGAGAGGGAGAGAGAGGGGGACATGTTTGCAGCTGTCAGGAGGAGTCACATTCTCATTCTTTTAAGCCAGTATCTGTGGGAGCTTCTGACTACCTACTAGTAGTAACAGAATTAACCTCACCAGTTGTCACAGGTATTTATCCATCTTTCTGGAAACCAAGACATATCCTCAGAATAGAAGATTTAAGAGATTCTATAATCACATATAAGTGTTTTTGTATTAACTTCTTCAAAATGAATGAATGATCTCTAACTCTCATGCTGTAAATGGTGTATATGCATCCCAAACCTTTTGTCATGCAAGCACCAGTTATATTAGTATGGTGGGATTTTGAAAAGTAAATGTATAAAGTTTATTGTTGACCTTGGAGTTTGACAAAATGTGATTTATAAATTCATGAGCATTTTAAGGCATGTGTTGTTAATAGCTGTATATTATAGCCTTTTAAAAGTTAAACTCAACTTTAAAAACATTAACTGTTGTGAACATTAATGAGCAGTTGAGAACTGCTGTGGGCTACCAGTCGCAATAAGGCACAAACAACAGTGGCAGAGCCATACTGTGCCATATTCTGAAGAAAGAAGAATATCAGCGTCTGTTCTGTAAGATGCGAGATGAGCCGGGACAGACCTGACTGCTCAGTATGTGATGGTTGCTAGGTAACCACAGCTGTCACCACTCATCTCCATCTGTCAGTGCTAATAACAGTGAAGTGGATGAAAACCCTGCAGCGATTCAGTATCAAGCCAATCGGAAGACTATTTACTGTAACAATGGATATTAATTTCAGACGAAGTTCATCCATATTACACACACAGAAACACTTTTATTTTGGGAGAAAATATCTATGCTGAAAATATTCTTCACGTGATGTAATCAAGTATCACTGACATTAAGACAAAACTCATGGAATAATGTTTTTACTTTATCTTCCCATTCCGGCTCAAAGTTACAATACACAGGAATGAAAACCTCTAAAATTATAAACTGACAAAATGGGCAAACATTTTACATTGCAGAATCATTTTTTAAATTGTGAAAGTTTGTGGTGAGAAAATTAGATGCTATGGCAGGTATGCAGAATCTGAATAAAAGCAATCTATCTGCAATGAGAGTTAACGACCTTCTAAAATAGTCATGTGACATGTTCTTTAAGTCCCCTTCTACTTATAAATGTTTTTTTATTGTTACTTCAATCGGATGTTTGCACATTCAGCATTCTAAATGTCAGAGTTTGATACCAGAGGAACGTTTTCATATTCTTTTGCTCGGTGTTTACCCTAAACCATGATTTTAAGGTGTGAATGTATCAGCATAATATAGTGACATAACAAATCTTATTTAAACCAACTGTGTTCCAGTATACAACTGTGATATATGTGTGTGCGTGTGTGTGTGTGTGTGTGTGTGTGTGTGTGTGTGTCTCTGTCTAGATGGAATTTTAAGAATTTGTAACTGGGTAATTAAACTTGTTTTGTGGAAATAATGACTATTTCAAGCAGAGTATTTTTATGTGTTAGGACATGTCTGGAGGGGATAGATACTGTGGTACGTACCCATGCAGGCCAGCAGTCCACTGATGGCTTGAACATCAGCCCCAGCAAAGATGTCTGACAGAGAATTGACCACGGGGAGACACAAGGTGTGGACACGGATCCTCCTCTCTCCTGTAAGACAAAATACTTACATTTAAACTAAAGAGATACAGATGAATTATTTCCAATTTTCACAGTGGCTTTGTGTGTGTGTGCGTGTGCGTGT